CTAAAAGAAAAGTTTTTACTGTGTGACAATACTTATGACCTGACTAGGTATATGGATGTAAAGGAGGCGAGAGGTGTGTCAGGATCGAAGTCCGTAGTCTCTGCCTACCCCTGGGTGAGAGGAGTGAGTGTTTGTTTTGTTGTGTGTGTGTGTGTGTGTGTGTGTGTGTGTGTGTGTGTGTGCGCGTGCGCGCGTGCGTGCGTGCGTGCGTGTGTGTGTGTGTGTGTGTGTGTGTGTTAAAACTGCTAGAATGGATTTAACAAATTATTGACCATTTTATTAAATAAAACTTAAAACGAACTTATAGATCGCCGGAAGGTAAGCTTATTGCCGTTCATGTACACCTGTAGCCAACTTCAAGTAAGCAAGACTAGAAATGCGTTGTCATCTCTGAAGAAGTAGATAAAGTATATTACACTCTGTTATTATGCTGACTCTCTTTTAAGACCTGAATACAGCATGCTATTTGTCGGCAGAAATAGTAAAGAGGGTGATACCTGCCCAGACAATTATTAAATTAAACAGTAAGCCCGGAAAGACACAAAATTCACAAGTTCAAAGATAAAGTAAGATTGCCTAATGGTTAAAAATACCTGTTTTAAGAAAGAAAAACAAACAAAAAAATTTTTGGTATATTATTATTTACCTATAAAAGCCTAAAATTGAACATGATTGACTTCTTCCATTGCAAAGAGGATCTGCCGTTTGCTTTTATCGTCACGCCTGGCAGGCGGAATAAAGATGCCGGCCTCGGTATTCTACTGCGTCTGGCATAAACGAGATGGTTATACCGCTATCTATCGACAGCCTTATTTGGCATTTTCCATAGCCACCTCAACGACAGCCAGTGGTCGAAATAGGGTAATAAATTCTCTTAAGCCGCCAACACTGCGAATGTATAATTTTTGTAACAAGGGGTTATAAAATCATAACAATGGTACTTGATTTTGGCTCGGGGCTATACAAGAATCGTTTCTGCACATGTACTTAAGAAACGAACAAAGGAATGACTTTTTCGATTTTCGATTTCTTTCGATATTCCTTGATAATAAAATTTGCGCATGTGCAAAATATTTTTAAAACCAATAGGTACTTTATACTTGGCTATTAGTTCTTTTACAAATGCTCAAAGTTTTGGTCGATAGCGTCATATTGCGTATTCGCCTCCCACACTACCATCTAGATTTGGCTAGCAGTGTCTTTTCCGTTTTTCAAGATAAGCTATGTTCCGAAAGAATTTCCTACAGTGAGATGGACGGTCGTTGAAGGCCTTTTGAAGACCAAAACAATGAATATTTTTTCAGCGATTAAGAAGCTTTGTGAGAAATGTGTAAAAGCGACGTGAAAAATGTGCCTCACTCTCAAACTCAATTTTCATTTAATTTGTAAGGCCTCAAACCCATTAGCGGCCTCCGTATCGCTACGATCAAACGAGAATTATTTCTTTGTAGTTTTGGAAAACAACAAACAAACAACAACATTTAAACAAGAACAATATGGCATTGTTAGTGCTTATTAAATATACACAAGATATTTCATTAAAACTTAAAAACAGTATCGACAACAATTAATGTGATAGCCAAGTCGTTAATTTATTTCACGAAGACAGCGTCACTCAGATTTCGTTGAAATCAATTGTAATTATACTGAACGCAACAATCATGATGTACAGCAGTCCAAACTTCTACCTAACATCACAAATAGAACTATTGAATATAAGAGCGTTTTGAGGATGACGGAATCATTTTATGTGTGTTAACCCCAAAATATGTTTTCATTTTACACAGTAAACTTTCCTGAATTCATTTCAATAAAATTGTATAATAGAAGAAACAAATAAGAAAATAGTGACGAAAAAATATCTCTATCTACAAATAAAAAGTGAAAATTTTTAATTGCAATTATTATTTAATTTACTTAATTTACTGAACTATCCATTAAAATTTACCTAAGTCAAGTGTAAGAGAATTAAAAAAAAAGAATAATAAATTGTTTTTATTGGCAAAATAATTTTTAAAGTCCAATTTAAGTTCCATAGCAGTTGGAGGCCTATGTTCAGCAGTGGACATTTGATAGGCTGTAATATTATGGTAATGGTCCATAGTAGTTTCTTAAATTATATCTATGGGTATCTACAATGTTCTTCAATCGATTTAAAATAAAATTTGTTACGTTTTACAATAATAAATTTGTAACTTCATCATACTGAAGTCCAGTGTAGTACATATGCCAGATACACAAGGGGGATATTACCATCTCCTGGTTTTTATCTCTCCGTCGCCTCTTTCTGTGTCTTAGTGGAGTGGATATTCTTACACCGCCGCTACACGGTATCGGTTTAATTTATAACGTGGCAAGGTTTATATCCAATTTAATTATAGTTACGGGACAACAAAAAAGTTAATTTTAAAATTGTAATAAATATCATTACGTTAAATGTAATTAATTGACTATTAAAACTTGCAAAGTTGTACATCCAATATCAAAGAAAGTAACAAATTTTATTTGATTTCAATCGAAGCTAATTCTATATCCCTATAGTTATGATTAAAGAAAGAAACTTCTATCAAATTTGGCACCCGTTTAAATCTAAGACTCATCAGCGGAGTCGACAACTCCGTTCGTAGTTTGTACTGAACTTGATCCCTTTTTCACATTTTGTTTTTTATGGGATAGCATTATTTTTTGTAAAATTTTAAAATTGTATTTTTCTTAGATACGTTAATTTATAACACATTTATTTGTATTTTTATGTCTATGTTTATTTTTACAATAGAATGAACTAATTTATTCAACAGAAAGATTAATACAATATTAAAAACTATATGTAATAATAAAAAAAAAACTAAAACTAGAAACTTAATTATTATATAGTCCTACTCCCCGTGGTATTTATTGTGCTAAGAACGATGGCTGCGTTTCCCCGCTGAATGGTTATACTTAGCCTTTAAGCGAGAAAAAAACCAGCCCTCTTATCACCAGCAGCGGATGGAGTTCCTTTAGGAACTTCATCGCTCGTGGACTCCATGGACCGATAGTCTCTACAGCAAATGGCACAAATATGTAGTCATCTCTCAGAGACTCATATTAACGCCACTTACTCAGTTCAGCTGCCTCTGATGCCGCCCCGGCTCTAAACGAGGTACCCCTGAGATGAGAGGCCGCCAGAGTGTCTGCCGCAAGTAGCATCCCACACTAGGGCTTTACCTCTCTCCCAAGGGATCAATGTTATATCGTCGAGTCTCCTGCCATTGTCTCTAAATATTTCACAAGGCTCTAAAACCGAGGGAACATTTAAAATATAAGGATTAAATCGATAAAGTGATTTATTTTTTTCCTTTGTACACGACGCCTAATGATCTAAATACTTTGGTGCCAAATTTCAAATTTTTAAGTCACCTACGTTTTTGATTATGATTTATTTAAAATATAGCGGAAAAAACCTGTTCTGGGAAAATCTTACTACCTACTTAATAACTCATGACCTATATGTTTATTCATGCAATTTTAATTTTAAGTATTCACAGTGGGGCCATATTAGAAATGCATAATTACAAATCAAATTATATGCGTCTAATAGTTTTTGAATTATGGGTGTCAAATGTAGTTCGTGTAAAAACCTGTTCGATCAGAGACCCATAGGTCTCGCAATGAGATTACCAAAAAAAAACATAATGTCATTAATCAATATAAGAATACACGTTTTTTACTACAATTTGCTTAAAATTCAACAGTTTTAAAATCTCGCAACACTGTTGTCTGCGACGCGACGGTATTTAAACGTATTGTTACGCGACGTCCGCCAGCGTCGCATATTATACTCCCATAAAAGTTTCCCATTTAATTACCTATATCTCAAATTACCGTCACAGATCCGTCAGGGTGTTTTTCACTGCCGGTGCTTTGACTTGGCTTGGCTAACACACGTTCCCGTGTCATGAAAATGAATGATCAAAGTTAAGTCAAATGACAGTCACGAAGATAAGTGATTTACATTAATTTTTATAGCATTCATAACAGACAGTCAACTAGGCTAGCCTAGTGCTAACGCAATGGCGTCTCGTCTGTTAGTTTCTAGTTAGGACAATGGTCCTTAACAGAGTGACCAGCTGGCTTATTTAAATAGTAATTTTCCGCACATAGGTATTCTTCTACGGCGACAACTTTTTAATGGTCTTTATCGTAAAATGGCACTTGCACGGTAATATTTAGTGCTTTTCCTGTTTTTGATTATAGCCCATCACCTGTCGGACGGTCACTATCTGAATTATACATGGCATTTACATTTATCGACATCCCACGTTACGAAATGGGGAGGGTGATAGATTTTCTTACGCAATCAGGACAAGGCACACCATATACCGTTTAATCAACTAAAAATACCTTACAACAGTTAATCCACTTGGTTAGGTACTATTTGATTGTAAAACTATATGCAGTTTTAAAATATGCTATGAAAACTTTACTTTCATTACACGTCTAAGAACCTACTTTCTTGGATAAAAAATTAACGATAACTTTATTTCAGGCATGAGGTTTTTAAAGGTCTATAGATGTATAAGCCGACTTGAAACAGTCAAATAAGTTTATACATTAACAAATTTGATTCGCAACAAAGATGAAACGAGCGTATGATAAAAACTTGAATAACGGGTGAATATCCACCGTTTAGTGCATGCAAAAAGGATACGACTACGATTAAACATTAATTACTACTGACGACTAAATGTAAGTACAATATAAGAAATACAGTACAGTAAAATACAACTAATGGTGAAATCACAGGAATGTTTATTGAAAGTAATATCAGAGAATTATGACTGTATAGTGTATAGCATTTTCAAGCATATTATTTAATATCTGAATTATATTTGTTAACGATAATTAAAAATTCAGCAATTTATAAAAGTATTAAAATAAGTATGTATATAAAATTAATATTATATATATTATATTATTTTTTTTAATTTTATTGTAAGGGGAAGATATATTTAATTTACCTTGGGAATTTATTCACAGCAACATCGATATCAAAAAAGATGTCAACCAATTCTTCAACATCTGAGTCGGAGGTGACTGAAGGTGGCAGATTAGCAGATGGAGGGGCCCCATTTACAGTGTGGCCTGCAGAATTAAAAAGCACAGGTTCCGCTTGCACCATGGGTAGCATTTCTATAGAATACTACAGGACCAAGCACTGCCACCGGTTTCAAGATGAACGTCTCCCTGAATAAACTTTAGACAACACAGTCCATATCCGCACCCAAACACACACTGCATTGCGCCACGCTTGCCGCGACGCTAAAACTGATTTCCGAACCACACGATTAACTTATTTAACTTCGTGGTATATAAATTAAATATTACGTTTGTGGATACTTTTCCCATCGGGAAAACGTGCACTAAGTTTATTACGCAGCTAAAAAAGTAATGCAATTTTGTTTCTCTATCAAATCCGTGCGAAACGTTCGCTACAAAACGACGATGAAAGTCAACTGAAAGACGAGACATACATATACATACATCCTTGTCGTTCACTACTTCACAAATTATCAACACGGCGCGGCACGGCAGCGCGGAGAGGTGCGGGGCGATGGTAGCAGACTGGCTGAACCGTATCGCCGCTATAGTCACACCCACGTCACTTCTATCTGAATGTCTTTCGATCTCGCTCACTAAGACATAGGGTTGATGTCCATACAATTTTAAAAATAATTTACCTACTATTTTATTCAAATTACATTGAACAAACTAAAGCACTATACTAAAATGAATGACATGGATTTGTGATTTAAATTAACACAACATGTCACCTACTATTTTTACTTATATTTAGCAAGTGTAGAAATTTTACTAATTGATAACAATCGCAAGTAGACATTAAGACTGTAGGAAATTTATAATTTCCAATAATGATTTCTAATACTTTTAAGCGAACTACTACACATTGAATATGATAGAAACACTATTTATTTTAATGTGCAAGTAAATGCTCGAAAATATATTATTCAAGTAGCAATTTGGTTTCATTTTCATTCATTATACCTAGGTACTGTTTTTAATCCCCAACGTAGATATTATAGTACTTCTTGACAAAAAAGGGTGGCAGCCCTACTACAACGTCAAAGTGCGCCAACAAAACGCCGATAACATGCGAAAGAATATTGGAATTACATTAAAGAGAGACAAAAAAATCGGTTTACAAATTACAAAATACAACAACATAAAATAAAATAAACATTAGTGTTCAAATTTCAAAATCATAGGTAGTTAAAAAAGATATCTATACAAATAAATAAAATTGAAGTGTCTGTTTGTAATGTCAAAATTACAGTTTTTTACTAAATGCATATGAAAATAAATACGGTACTTATAACTAAAATACAATTTTAATAATTTTTGTCTGTCTGTTTGTTCCGGGTAATCTCCGAAACGGCTAAACCGATTTTGACAGGGCTTTCACTGGCAGATAGCCGATTTCATAAGGAGTAACTTAGGCTACTTTTATTTTAGAAAAAGAAATTAAGGTTCCAGGCAAAACCATAAAAACACTAAGACGCGAGCGAAGTCGCGGGGAACAGCTAGTTTTGTCATAATTAGAGTCGGGACATCTCGAGAGAGATAGATACTCAGGTTCGATACGATACATTTATAGACATGAAAGTGAAATGGAACAGTATTTGTGTCAAGTGCACAATATAGATAACAAGGTCATTCATTGCGCAATACAGTTAGTAATTTTAACAATACATTCATGACATCAGTTGTATTAATATTGGTATCATTCATGCCGATAAAATTTTGGTAAAATATGGCATAAATATGCATAACTTTAGGGTAAAATTGTTAATGTGCAATGCGTTTTATTGCACAATATGCAGTAAAAATGTATATGATTGCCGTGTGTCTAACGCCTTAATTAATAATATAATAGTAATTAAATAAACAAAGCCAAAAAGTAAAGTAACAGAGGAAGAGTGCGAGTGTGCGACGCGTGCAGATATCGGTGCAGGCGGCCCCGCAGATGTATGTCAGTAGGTCACGGCAATGACGTGGCACACGGTCGCGGCTCGCGGCGAGCCGCACACTTCATTCTAATTCCGCTTCGGCGATGACTTCGGTTCAACAGACTGATTATACCCTAATATGATTTCTTGTAAAATTAAAACGATAAATGCAAACTGTTAAAAAAACTATTTCAAATAAATAATAATATGCAGCTTTTGTTGACTTCAAGTTCAGCAATTGTCTTGTCGTAGTTTTTATTTTCAAATAAAGAATGTTATTTAATATTATGCTCCTCTGTCTGAGAAAATTAATAACTAGGGATGGGCGGAAATTGGTTTTACATTCAATTTATCCGAATTTCAATTTTAATGCCGTACATTCGGTACAAGACAAAAGTTCCTGCACTATTTTGACTAGTGAATAGAAATCAAAACTGTCATACACATGTCTATACATCTATATAAATAAATAAAACTGAAGTGTCTGTTTGTAATGTCAAAGTACGTTATGTACAGCTTTACTAAATGCATATGAAAGTATATGCAGTACCTATAAAAAAACTACAATTTATAAACATTTTGTCTGTCTGTTTGTTTTGGCTAATCTCCGAAACGGCTGGACCGATTTTGACGGGACTTTCACTGGCAGATAGCTGATGTCATAATGAGTAACTTAGGCTACTTTTATTTAAGAAAAAGAATTAGGGTTCCACGCAAAAAAAAAACTCCTAAACAACACGCGGGTGAAGTTGCGGGGAACAGCTAGTGTAAAATAAAAAAAGTCCCTTATATAGTCTATAATCATGGTTATTTATTTGTTAATTAATAATTAGTATTATCATCATTTTGCTAGTTTGTTGCATTTAAATCTAATTTTGTAATAGAATAAAAATACATTAATTAAAGTAGCTCTTCTTAATTAAGAAGTCTTATGAATCAAATTTGTCAAATAAGAAATATACATTAACTTAAAAAAAAATGAAATAAAGTTAGAATTCTTGAATGTTTGTTAGAAACATTAACGAATTGTAACTTTAATTTCCAAAGAAATCACTATATTGATTTATATGAAAGATAACATAAAAAATACAATTAAAAAGGGCGTTTTAAGTACCAGGTGTTAAGAAAAGGTTCAATTAAATCTTTGTTGGTGGAACTTCAGTCGAGTTTTAGATTTTTTGAAGAATGTTCGGACGAAGTTCATTTTCAATTTAAACCACATTAAGGCCCATCACTGTTAATAACGCTAGTATTTTCGCAAGTTCCAGCCCCTATCTAAATAATTAATAACATTTTACTATCTTGTCAATATCATGCTCTATTAAAAGCTGTGAATTCGATGCCATTCCTTGATTAACATAATGATTTCTTGTTTTTTTTTTATAGGAGAGGGGGCAAACGAGCCTGCGGCTCACCTGATGGTAAATGACTACCGCCGCCCATGAACAACCGCAACACCGGGGGAATTGCAGATGCGTTGCCGGCCTTTTAAAAAGGAGTACGCTCTTTTCTTGAAGGTCCCTAAGTCGTATCGGTCCGGAAAAATCGCTGATGGTAATCGATTCCACAAGGAAGTCGTGCGAGGAAGAAAACATCTTCTAAATCGCACAGTGGTGGACCGCCAATCATCCAGATGATGTGGATGGTATCGGGAGTTCTGCCGCGATGTGCGTGAAATTTGGCGGCTGGGATTAATCCGAACAATTCCTCAGAGCACTCCCCATGGTAGATGCGAAAGAAAATGCAAAGAGATGCGACATCTCTTCGCAGTGCCAATGAATCGAGCCGATCGGAAAGGGCTCGGTCGTCGACGATTCGAGCCGCTCTGCGCTGGATGCGGTCAAGTGGAAGGAGCTGGCACTGGGGAGCCCCTGCCCAGAGATGGGAACAGTATTCCATGTGAGGCCGAACCTGCGCCTTGTAAAGTTGCAGGCGGTGTGCCGCTCTGCTGAGCACGCCAAGCTTTTTAGAGGCCAATTTGGCCTTCTCTTCCAAGTGACCACGAAACTGCACGTCACTCGATATGTCGACTCCGAGGATACCGATACTGGCTGAGGCAAGAAGGGGAGTGCCTTGAAACTGAGGAGATACGACAAAGGGGTTCTTTTTAGCGGTAAACGCGCAAACTTGTGTATTCTGAGGATTAAACTGGACTAGATTTAGTCGCCCCCAATACGAGACTTTGTCCAGCAAAGACTCGACTTCAGACACAAGTTTGTTCCGGTACTCGGCGACGTTTTACCCGAGAAACATTGGCCCGGCCGGTGTATAGAGCATCACCAGTGCTGTCATCCGCATAGCAATGAATATTACCAGTTAGCAACATATCATTGATATGCAGAAGAAACAGCGTTGGTGATAGCACACAGCCTTGTGGAACACCAGCGTTAATAGGCTTGTAGTCAGAACATGCACCGTCTACAACGACCTTGATGCACCGATCTGCAAGAAAGCTGGTGATCCAATTGCACAATTTCTCGGGAAGCCCATAGAAAGGGAGCTTCGAAAGAAGCGCTTTGTGCCAAACCCGATCGAAGGCCTTCGCAATGTCCAGACTAACGGCCAACGCCTCCCCCTTGGACTCAACTGCCTCCACCCATCTATGGGTCAGGTAGACCAGAAGATCACCAGCTGATCAACGCCGACGAAAACCGTATTGGCGGTCACTAATCAGCTGGTGATCCTCAAGGTACCGGATAAGCTGGCAGTTAATAATGGATTCCATTATTTTAGAGAACAAGGAGGTGATCGCGATAGACCTATAGTTGGACGGGTCTGAGCGGTCGCCTTTTTTAGGGATCGGGTGGACAAAAGCTGTCTTCCATGTATTCGGGACTACGCCTTGGGAGTAGGAGTAACGGAAAAGACGCGTTAGGACCGGTGCCAACTCCGGAGCACACGTCCTCAGCACGATTGGGGGGATTCCGTCAGGCCCACTCGACTTCTGGATGTCCAGGGAGAGAAGTGCTTTGCGAACTGAGCGCTGTGAGAATAGCACATCCGGCATGGAACACTCACACCGCGGGATGGTCGGCGGTATTTTCCCCCTGTCATCAAGAGCCGAGTTGGACGCAAAAAGGGAGCCTAAAAGGTCGGCTTTGTCTTTTGCGTCTTGGGCCAGTGAGTAGTCCTCCCTGTGCAGAGATGGTAGTGATGGCTTACA